AATGAACACTCGTGTACAAATATCTGTTTGAATCTTTTCTGAGTATATACCTACAAGTGGAATTGCTGGATCATGTGGTAATTGTTTAACTATTTTGAGGAACTGCCAAAATTTTTCACAATGGCTGCACCATTTTACATTCCCAACAATGCATGAGTTCCAATTTTTCCATATCCTTGCCAACACTTTTTTTTTTAATTGCATCCTAATAAGTGTGACTGGCACCTCATTTTGGTTCAGGTTTTGCTTTTCTTACTATTAGAAAGAGTCAAATTTGCGAACTGTCTTCAATAGATGCATATATTTTTAGCTTTAGCCCTAGGGGGCTCATTGTTTCTTGACCCACTTCTAAATTTATACCACAGATTCTCAACAAGGGGTAATTTCCATTCTCAATCTTCCTTACTGGGGACATTGGCAACAACTGGAGATCTTCTGGGTCGTCACAACTGAAGGAGGGGTGGTACTGGCATCTGGTGGGTAGAAGCCACATGTGTTGCTGCACAGCCCTACAATGTGTGGGACAGCCTCCCGCCACAATTGGTCTCAAATGCCAATAGTGCCAAGGTGGACAGACCCTGGGTTCTATTCACATTTCATGTACCTTTATAAAGTGTCTTCATCTATCTATTCACATTTCATGTACCTTTATAAAGTGTCTTCAATCCTTTAGGACCAAAGCAGAATATGTAGTGAACTACTGCTTCTGAAGTAAGCACTATTAACATTGTGATAAAGATGCAGAAAACATAACTTCCTTTTCACAACAGTGTATTTAAATTATATATCTGAATATACTTATTGGCTTCATTGCTAATCACTTCAATGACCTAAACTACAATGTGAGATAAAACTATCGTTATTAATATTTTCAAAAAGTTAGCATGTTCCTGGAGGAAATAGCAAATCTAGATGTCTTGCCTTTCGTTAAACTGAAAAATGTCATGTACCAGGCTCTCTGTCTGGCACTAATTATACATGGGTGGACCAGGTGGATATGGGCCCTTGTACCCACGGAGCACAAACCTCACTAATAAACACGTGGTGTTAGGCCAAGCATTGTTAATAGTGTTTTGATGCCTCCCCCCTTTTAAGTTGAATAGTTTAAGGAAACAGAAATTCTTATAAAATGAAAAACTTTAATAATTGTTTAAAGCAAAGGCACAAGTAAACATTTCAGGTTATCATACAATGTTACAAAAAGAAATTCCAACAGTAAAATGAAAAACATTATAATCTTGCATCTCTATAGTATACCTAATTTAGTATTTTATCATCTTTTCTTTGGAGTGAAAAGACAAGATAGGCAGATCAATGGATGTGCTGTAAAAAGTTGGATTATAAATAGCATCCACTCCACTTTTAACCAGTAATTTTAATTTCAGGAGAATGAATTAAAGTAAAATTAATTAGTTTAAAAAACTGGTTTTTTAATGATGGAGCAGCAATAACCTTCAGGCTAAAGCACACTGTTTTAATAAAGTAAATCACTGATTTCATAAAACATTAGCTGCTGACGTCTGGTACTACATGATAAATAAGCTGGCCATGAAAGGACTTTACTGAAATGCAATTCATATATTTATTTTACTTTAAATCTGAAAATGATAGTGTATTATGTAAAAGATAAAGGAGAATATGGAACCAATTCATTTCTTATGGTGTTAGAAATAAAATACTTAAAAAGGTCTAGACCTTGTTTTCAAAGGCACTATCCGGAGAGTAACAGGCTGCACGCTCAGAGCTAAGTTTTTGTTTTTGTTTTTCTTAGGTGAGACTTGACATCTCAATTAGTCATCAAACACTGAGTACCTAATATCTATCAATAGAAAGGGCAGAGATTGTGTAATGTGTATCTTTAACCGCTTTTTTCAGGGAGAAAAAAAATATTTTACCATTGATTCTTAAAAGGCTGTTGAAATATTGGCTTGATCTAAAAGTTCTGTTTCATCACGTCAATGTGATTTCCATTTTATTCAGATCACCCTGTAGCTTCTACTTTTAGCTTTTCAACCTAGATGGCAACACCACCAGGACGTAACTATCCTAAGAGAGTACTTTTGTGTGTGTGTGTTTATTATTTATTCACTTATTCCTCCCTGAATATTCTCCAGCTCTAAGTGTTTAACTGAATAACATTTAAATGATACAAAGTAATTGTGTCAGGGATTAAATAAAATCTATCAAGAGGACATTTTCCAATACCTCGTAAATCTTAATTTAAATGTCAAATCAGAGCTTAGTATCCTGTTGCATACTAAAAACCAGGAAGATTCTAAACCCTTCTAGGGAGTATTTGAATCAAAGCTCTTGAATGAGATGATTGTTGTTTCTAGTTTTCCCATTTCCCAAATTACAAGAACATCAATGGGTTACGGTTCACTTACCATGATTCTTTTAACACCTAATTCCTAACCAGGAAACAGTACTTAGGAAATTCTCTAAGAATATCTTTCAGATTTAGAATTCAAACATGATTCTAGAAAGATGTTCTTATTTTAAGTCAAATTATAACATCGGCTCATTGACGCATACCTAAAGGCCAACGTGCCTGCTTGAGAGAGCAGTGCTGGGATTCTGGAATTCTTCCCTTTCTCCATTTCCAAAGGTAGAGATGTACTTCCTTTGGCATCAAAGACTTCATCATACAAAACAGCTGGAACATTTTCCATTTAGAATAGTTACGAGTTTAAGATCCACTAGCAAATTTGTCTTCAAAACCATTAGTTCAACACCAAAAGCAAATAGTTTGATCTTCTACTGAGACAAACTTAAGATGCAAACCTGCATTTTAGAGGGTATGCAGACTTTTTCTCTAAAGTGCCAGACAGTAGATATTGGGGGCTGTTTGTGCCCTACGGTCTCTGTTGTAACTACTCAACTCTGCCATGGTACACGAAAGCAGCCACAGACAATATGTATATGGATAAGCATGGGTAAGCTCCAAGAACATTTTCTTTATCAATACTGAATTTCATATGATTTTCATGTGATACGAAATGCTATTTTGATTCGCCCCACACAACTATTTATAAATATTAAAAACTACTCTTAGTTTGTGGGTCATGTAAAAACAAGAAGCTGGCTAGAATAGCCTCATGGCCTGTAGTTGCTGACCCTTGGTCTAGATCACTAGATTTCTTATTGTGGGGGTGAAAGCAATGTGGCCATGACTCATCTCATTTTACCTGGGCATCAACAGCCCCTAGGCTGACAGTAATGAACCCCAAAAGAGAATTCTAAAAGCACCAGACAATTCTAGTAAACGATTCCAGTAGAGCTGCGCAGAGTTTATGAGTGTTAATACATCTATACACAAATACTGATTTATATATATTCAGGAAACACATTTAAATCACATTAATTGAAGAAAAGCAGAGAATTGAGAAATTCACTAGCTGAACCTTTTCAGCTTGGTGTCGGAGAGATCTTGAGTAAAATTTTGGTTCTGCTACTTACTAAACTTGTAACCACAGGTAAATTACTTAACCACTACAATTTGACCTGGTGATATGGACACAACAGGCATCTGGTCAATCTTGTTTCTCAAGCAAATAGCTACAAAGGGCTTCCTGGAAAAGCCTAATCTACCACGTACCATAAAGCCTGACTTTGGGCTTTAGACAAAAAATGATTTTGTCTCTTCTACTCCACTCTGTCATGTAAATTTTTTTTCTGCATGCAACATATTGTGCAAAATTGTACCTCCATATATACTGAATTCTACTTTCCTCTTATCCTTGAAGGCTATTTTTTTTCACAGGCTGCTGATGAAAATGGAAGTGGAAAGGATCCAGTCAACACATGTTTGTTATCTTTACGTCATCTCAGTGTAATTTGGTGTTTCCACCAATTTATCAATGACAGGCATTCAGGTTTCCAGGGAAAAAAGTCTGGATGAGAAAAAGGAAGAACTGGTAGGAAAGAATTCTTATGGCTTTATCTATGGATTAACTAGAGAAGCTGAAGATAATGTTCATAGATTAATCGCAGATATAGTTTTTGTGTATCTTGGACCTCAGTCCATTGCTTAAATTACATTAAGTAGATATTAGCACTAAGTAATATGTGCTATAAACTCTTTAATCATGAAAAATTTATTGTTATATACACATGAAGCAAAATACGTCACCAATAGTGTTTTGAACAAGCATTAGTTCACTTATGAATCTGCTAGTGTTGAATGCCAAGCAAAATACTAAAGCTATTAAAATATTAGTGTTTGGTTTTATTTTCAATTTTCTTTTAACCTAGTATTTACAGAAGTCCTGTTAGAATGCTGAAGGCAGTCATTTGCAACATGTACATTCTCCATATAAAATGATTTTCAATGTGGGTGATGTAGATTTATAAATATGTACAAAACCCCCAATTTATTTGTAGTTAACCTACTACTCTGACTAGTAGGCAATACATGGAAGCATCATATGCACATCAAAATTAGAAATTAAAACACAACTTAAAACTCTCAAGACAGATGACTGTTCATTTGTGTTTGTATAATTATATGGGGGGGGGGAAAGCTTTGTATTTGGGAGCTTTCAGCGGCCCACTACTAAAGCAGTAATTTTAACTGAAAAACAAAAAAACCCAAAAAACCCAGAAACACACCCCCAACACAAAAACCCAAGATAAATTAGATGTATATCCTGGTTAAATGTTTGTAGACACCTGCCCTGAAAACAAATTGCTAAATATGCAATTTGTTAAATGAGCATGAAATATTGCACTAGAGCAGTTTTGTCTGAAGAAAATTCAATTTTCCATAGTCCTGAACTTCAAAATGCTTCCCACATATAAATTGCATTTTCTAAATAAGAAACATTAATATTCAGTAATACTGTTAGAACCTTATTTTTCCCATTAACCATATACCAGTCTATTTTATGGCAATGGTAGTCAGTGGTGAAGATTTGGCAAAGATAAAAAGGCAGATAAGACTGTAAAATATATATATATGTATGTATATACGTATGTACATATGAAACAAGTATGTTCCAAAAACCCTTAATCATATGATAACTGATCCCTTAAAAAACCCCACAGTCTAGGTCACAGTGATGGTCAGACAGTGGTTGAGTATGACTCTCTTCTTGGGGGCTGCTCCTTTCGAGCCACTCGGTTGCTGTCTCTGGTCTCCAACGCACTGTCTTCTGTTTCGCTTTCACTACCATCTGCCACAGTGGGGTCCAAAGACATCGGGCCAGACTTTCTGTGGAAAGGAAAACCAACGCCACTTTCCCGTAAGGAATCATTCATAAAATCTTCATCAGAGGAATGGAATGATTCATCATCTCCTATTAAATGGTTGACAATGTGGATTCCATCAAAAGGAGGCTGGCCTGAGAAGACCCTCTGGCCTTTTAGGCACCTGAGCTGTCAAAACAAAACCCATGTTAATATACTCAACTGGGGGAAACACACCAAGAAAGCAAACATTTCATGTTCAAAAAAGAAGATGACTTACCTTTTATTTTTTTTGCCATTTGTAGATAAAATAGTAACTACCAATTTTTTTTTTTTTTAAGATTTTTTTATTTATTTGTCAGACAGAGAGGGAGAGAGAGCGAGCACAGACAGACAGAATGGCAGGCAGAGGCAGAGGGAGAAGCAGGCTCCCCGCCAAGCAAGGAGCCCGATGTGGGACTTGATCCCAGGACACTGGGATCACGACCTGAGCCGAAGGCAGCTGCTTAACCAACTGAGCCACCCAGGCGTCCCGTAACTACCAATTTTTATATGCCTCCTATGTGTTATGTAATGGACACATAACTTGTTTTTTTTTTTTTTTTAAGATTTTATTTATTTATTTGACACAGAGAGAGAGCGATCACAAGTAGGCAGAGAGGCAAGCAGAGAGAGAGGAGGAAGCAGACTCCCCACTGAGCAGAGAGCCTGATGTGGGGCTCGATCCCAGGACCCTGAGATCATGACCTGAGCTGAAGGCAGCGGCTTCTGCCACTGAGCCACCCAGGCACCCCAGTAACTTGTTATTTTAATTGAATTATCACAACAGTCCTATGTGGTAGATTTTATCATCTTCATTAGAGATTAGAAAATGGAAACTCAGGTAGAGGTACTACTGTGGACACACAGGTAATAGCAAAATTTAGATTCAAATTGAACCTTCATTATATTACAGATAATATAATGAACTCCATGCACTCATAAAATTTCAACAATTAGGGGCGCCTGGGTGGCTCAGTGGGTTGCGCCACTGCCTTCGGCTCAGGTCATGATCTTAGAGTTCTGGGATCGAGCCCCGCGTCGGGCTCTCTGCTCAGCGGGGAGCCTGCTTCCTCCTCTCTCTCTGCCTGCCTCTCTGCCTGCTTGTGATCTCTCTGTCAAATAAATAAATAAAAATCTTTAAAAAAAATTTAAAAAAAATTTTTCAACAATTAACATCATGGACAATCTTATTACATTATACTTCTTCTGTCTCTGGATTACTTTGAGATAAATCCCAGACATTCTATCAGTTTACCTGTAAATATTTCAGCATGCATTCTAGAAGATGTGGACTTTAAACCATACTCAGAACTATCACACATACTGTCTCAAGAGCATGTCCCCATAATAATGAAAATCAGTTACAAATAATGAAAATTTGCTATGAATCTCCTTCCTATTATAATATCCCAAAGACCACCAAACCACTGTCACTCACTCACTCAGGGCAGGAATGCTCCTTTCTACTAATGAGATCTCTCTCTGCAAGGAAGGAATGCCTTCTCTCCCCTACTCCTCCCCAGGGAGAAGGGGCAACTTCCCTAATGAGGGAATAGGGGAGAGGAATGCCATGTATTGCTCAGCTATTTCTCTTCTCTTTCCACCTTTCAGAACCAGATTTTGGCTATCCCAGGAGCTTCCCATGGCCACACCTTCATGGGGACATCATATGCTCCCTGTTACTGGCTGGGCAAGTCTGACTAATTCTAGAGTTCATTTTCCAGAGAAAAACCCACTGTTGTCACAAATCTAAAACACATTCTCCAAAACCAGCCTTTTCAGGATTAAAGGTGACTTCTTTCTATCATCTCCCACTTCTTTGCCCCAGTTACCTTAAACTCCCAAACCCACTGCCATGGATACAACCACTTCTACTACCATAGAATTGAGACATCAGCCCTGTCGTCCTCAAGAGCTTATGTCTTAAATAGGAAATCTAATTCTGATATTGTCACTTGTTTAATTTCTCCCATACACCATGAATTTTCTCCTACAATAGAGCAGAAGAGCTGAAAACAAAACAACCAAAACAATAACTGAAAAAAACTAATTACCAAAATCTACCTCGACTTGCAAGAATTTGGCTGAAAGAGATCCCATGCCTCCTACCCTTATCACTACTATTAACCTTCAACTTTGTTTCTCAGGGACAAACTCCTGGTCACTCACTATCTTTCAAATCCTAAGATAAAGCCTGTGTGAAATATTCAGGAAATATTACATATACTTTCAAAACTAACGGTTCTGAAAGTAAAGACATTACAGCCTTGCCATACACCTGCCAGCTATCCTGACAGACTTCCAGGAAGAAGTGAAGAAATGTCAGCACTTCCCTGCTGGTGTGTGAACAACGGGAAACAAGAAGGATGCTGAGACTTCAAACAGTGATGTCTGCCTCAGGCCGACCTTCAACCCTGAAGAAATCCCTATGCCCTAGGCCGAGAGAACAAAATTACAGTGATGTGCAATGTAATTTAAGTAACACTGTCTCCCTTGGCAGGGCAGAAAGGATCTAAACTCGAGGGTGAATTTTTAGGGAAAGGGCTCAGAGCACCACAAGGACCTCCCCATAGCTGTGATACCCATGGCAATACTACAACTGCCACGTTCTGATGCAACATCCTATCACCACATTGCAACACATGATTTAGAGCTCCAAGTGTTAGATTAAGTCAGTTAATCTCTTCCTTTCTTTTCTTCCCAAACCCTTTTGAAGAAATAATACAGAACATGTGTCTTCCTTTTCCCTGGCTGTTACCAAAGGAGTACAGCAGGGGAACCACAACTTCCCAATTATCTGGAAAGCTGTAGCTCTAACAAATTTTACTGCAGTTAAAAAACTGCAGCCTCTTATCAGATGTCCTAAGAGACCTCAAATATTAAATAAAACTAATTCTAGGTGGAGGGGTCATTTCCTCAATGTCAAAGGGGATGCAACTAGAGTTTATTTGAGAACTGCTAATAAAGAATAGCAAAAAAAGGAATTTCGGAGAAGAAAAAGGTGAAGGTAAGGGACTCTCTGGTAAAACTGAAGCTGTCCCTTAGTTACCTCTTAGACGAAAGTGTGCATACTGGTTCTGAGGGGAGGGAGGCCTGTGTGTGTCCTGAAAAGGGACATCTGCTCACTGAGTTCCCATCACGTGGTCTAGAAGGGGCTGAACTTCAGGTGAGGATGTCCCGGGAGACTCCTCTTCCTGTGGAGAGAGGTTTGGCTAGAGGAAGGCCAGAGCTGGGCCTTCTAATGTATAGTCTTGGGTGTCTGGATCTGAGAGCTGTACTACTGATCCTGTTACTAGACTTTTAAGAGCTAATTATATTTAAAAACAAACAAAAAAACCCAGACAATTTTCTCAACCTACACCCCTAAAAAAGACTTCCACAGATATTATTGTTGGTAGCACACTTAGATTAGCATATCTCAAAATATGGTCCACTGATTATCTCTATCAGGATAACCAAGGATGATTATTAAAAATTCAGAATCCAGGGGCGCCTGGATGGCTCAGTGGATTAAGCTGCTGCCTTCAGCTCAGGTCATGATCTCAGGGTCCTGGGATTGAGTTCTGCATCGGACTCTCTGCTCAGCGGGGAGCCTGCTTCCCTCTCTCTCTCTCTCTGCCTACTTGTGATCTCTCTCTGTCAAATAAATAAATAAAATCTTAAATAAATAAATAAGTAAATAAATAAATAATTCAGAATCCATACCCTGATCTAAGGAATCAAAATCTGGAGAGCGGAACATTTTTAAGTTTATTTATTAATTGTTTAAATAATCTCCACACTCAACATGGGACTCAAACTCACAACCCTGAGATCAAGACTGACAGGCTCCACTGACTGAACCAGCCAGCTGCCCTGAGAGTGAAACAATTTTACAAGCATCTGAGGAGATAATGATACCTCACAGTTTGAGAATCACTGTGGTAGATCTGTTCAAACCAAATGAGGCTGAGTCAAAAAGGAGTTGATTTACCTGAGATGGAGCTCTTATTCACAGTAAAAGTGCTTCTGAACAGGAAACAACTGCCCGTGTGTCTGGTATACAGAAATGGATACCACCGTTCAGTAGTACAAGCAAGCTGTTCAGACCCAAATTCACTACCTGATGGTTGAAACACGGAGCAGTCTGTTTAAATGCCTTTTCCTGAAACTTTCTCCTGGCATAGGGTAGGATCCAGGAATGCGTATGTTCAAAAGACCTGAATAATTCTGATGTGCATCCCAGAGTAAAGACCATTATTACAGGCAACATTTTGTCTGTTTGTTCAGCTTTGTTTGGTGTCTCCTATGAATCAATCATAGGATCAGGAATCTGACAAAAGCTAATGACTCTCTTTCTTGAAAAGTACATATATGTATTTTTGCATACCCTTCTGTAGCCCCTTGTCTTTTCTAAGTTTTGGTTAAAGACTGTTAGAACATTTTTATAAAGCAACAAGAAAACAACTAAACTTTGTGAAATGCCAATAACACACCCCTATCATGAAAAAGATTTAAAAGGTATTATTTTTCTAGGTGAAATGAGACATAGGTTTTAAAGGCATTGAATGTGACTGAAAATACTTTTGAGATTCACCAAGGATTGGAATTTTAAGCAAAGGGACTCTTCTCTGGTGGAATCTTGGAATTTCCCCCAAAGAAGGGTCTCAGCTGATCATAGTCAACAAACTCTATCCAGGCATTCAGAACTTCCTGTTAGCTTTTTAAGTTCTCCAGACCTAATATTTGAGCAGGGAGTCGGGTATTTGAAAAAATCATCTAAGAGATGCTGGGGGTAGGGGTGGGGGGACAGCAACTAGGAGGAAACAGACTATTGGTGAAAAGAAAACTCTTTAAAAATCATTTATTTCCTCTGAAGAAACTGCATCCATGTAAAACAAAAAACAAAACCAAAAACCTAGGACACTCTACAAGAGGTTTCAGACATAATTTTTTCTGACCTGAAAGACATGTGCTTTGAGACTGAAAAAGCCTACCAAGTATCTATCACAATGGATAAAAGTAGACTTACACAATGGTACCTTATAATGAAATTTCAGGACACTGGGAACAAGAAAAGATAAAGCATCCAGCCAAAACAAAAACATATTTTATATAAAAGATTAAGAATCACAATGATAGGGACACCTGGGTGGCTCAGTTGGTTA